ACAGAAGAATCAAGACTTCGAAGAAGACGACTATAAGATAGGCGCTTGCAGCAAATGCATCTAATGGAGGAGGTGCAAAACCTGAAAGTTATTATTATCACTGTTCAAAGCGTTCAGAAACAAAGAGATATAGAAACTCGCCTAAGGAAGCAGCACTGAAGACACCTCCCAACATATCAACAATGATGAATGTGATCGAGAGGCCCACTACTTCTTTTCGTTTGAATATCTCCCAAAACTGTGGACTATAATAGATTAATGGAGAAGTATTCAATGTTGTTTATGATAGTAGTACGACTCACAATAGAGCACCACCAAGAAGGATGGTCGCTATGATTCCGAACATCTTGACTGGCCACGTTACACCATTGCGAAAACCAGCCTAGACAGATTAGTGACGAAGAAGATTCCATAAATTACTTTAGAATAGATGTACTCACTCTCAACGCGTAGACACAGCCGACTTGCATTGCAGTCGAAAGGCAACAAAATGCCAACATACACAGGACACAATAAGTTTTTCGGGCATGACGATCGTAATATAAGCATTGTATCCATGAGCAGGCACACAAAAAACCTTGGTCGAAAGAGAGAATCGTTATGAATAAGATTACTCTAATGCAAAAACATAAGTATTTTGATTGTAGTCTTATATAAAAAATTCTGCTAAATGGATGGAAAAAAGCGGAAAGGAAAAATGTCAAAGAGGAAAAATATCGAAAATAAAATTGTCGAAAACAAGAATATGACGTGAAGATGAATATGTAAGATTGAAGATGAGGATGAGGATGAGGGAGATTTGTACTTCAATATACTCTCGTTTTCAGCATTTCTATCCATCTACATTTGTATTATTTCTGTTTTCGATATTTTGCTTTTCTGCCTTTTTCCATCATACCGCGTACGTAGACAGAGAATTTGGTAAAAGCCTTGAACTTCGTCTTCCAATTTCATAATACATGCACTAGAGATCTTATGATTCGAGGTGCATTATAGAAAAAAATAGTAAAGTGTATCTGACTATTCCCTGTAAACAATAAACATTGAAATTTTTGTTTGAGATAACACATATAAGCATTTCTAGGAATAATATAATTCCTTTGATAGAAAATTTTTGCTCTGCATAATGTACTGCATTACTTTAAGAATTTTTTTAATCTGCTGTTCTCTTCCGTATGGTAACCATGTGAACTCAAAGTATTTGATTACTGGAGAACCTATCCATGTTAGTTGCGAAACATTTAAAACAACTGCATTTTTAAGCTGCAATCAATATAATCTTTTATAGAATTATCTTGAATGTTACAAAGCTTCAGTGAAGCTAAAATCAATATACCACATAGTTCGGGTTGAATATGAAGAGGTATTGAAAGATGTTGTGTGATATTGTATGTGGCCAAGAAGCACATCGAGACCATCCATGTGAACATTAACCAAGGGGACAGACCAGATGTTGACTTCTCTCTCCATGATTTCCAAACTTGAGGAATAAGCTGTATGCACCACAGAACTGCGCCTACAGTGGCTAAAGCATTTTCTGTTGCACCATGTACACCCATTCGTAAAAAATTCAAGCAAAATAAATGCAATGTTTGTCACTTGGTCTCGCTTAGCTGCACCGAAACTCACGTGCACAAAACAAAACAACTTCAAGCAACTAATTGTACATGTACACTGGAACTGATAATAGATGAGAGGAAGAAAAAGAAAGAAATCAAATGGCAAGCTAGAGAAAAAATCACAGGTAGGCAGTTAGAAAGAAATAAAAGGTAATTTGCACGTCATTCAAAATTGCAGCAAATTTTGTTTTCGCGATATCTATGCATGGTTGGAGAGAGCGCAATATCTCACTTAGAAAAAGGTGATTGTTTAGTTTTAAAAATAATTTTTGCTAAAAAAAACTTTTTCTACAATCATATTTTCAACAACATCTGTTTTTGCTGTTTTTAAGGTCGCTCCCTCAAAAAAGTCACTTGTCACCAGAATTATCGAAATTGAGATAAATTCATTAGGAAATAGCCCGTCGTGGGTGTGGGTGTTGGTCTTATTTCCTACCATACCCAAACCCTCATCCTCTACTTCGCCAATTTAAACGTAAACTCGAAGATGCAAGAAAGAAATCGTAAATAATTTTTCACAAATAAAAATATGGAACCTACTAAGTCAGATTGATGCATGTGAACACAGTGAAACTATCTTGCTGAAAATACCATAAGCTCCATCAGCTTGTAAGGCAACCGATAGAGTTTATCTCAATGAAAATAATTGCCGATGATGAATGTAAGGGAAGATGAATTGAAAAGTAGAGTGATAGATCTTAATTTCGTCATGACTTTCTATTTCTTTAAGTAATTGAACACAAAAAGAATAATAGACCGATCAGTGGTTTTGAATTGCTTCGAGAACTTCTCGATAGCAGTCCGTAAGAGGATTATTTGTTTCAAGAGAGATATCGACTGCTCGATGAAAATGATGAAATTCGTATAATTAAAAATATTTGTCATCATATTTACATAGATGGTCAAAAAACAAAATAATAGAACAAAAATTATGCTAATCAGAATTACCACTACAACAAGGGTCATAACGATTATCATAATCGTCAAGAAGAACAATACCACAAAACATAGAATAAGTACGCCTCTTATGACACTTGTAACTATAATTATTAGGGTTTCAATGCCAATCAGGACAACGACCACATTTGGCACAAGCATGATCCCTACGACGAAGCTCCTGTTCAGAGTATGGTGTATTATTCTTTGGTCACTCAAGAACGCTTTCCACAATGTGGAGATTAATAGTGACAGATGTAGCCATACATGTATTTGTGCTTCATAACGAACATGATTGGATGAGAACCGAGTTGTGTAAATAAATGGCCAACCATATCAACGGAATGAAGACTTCATTTTTCTTTCTTTGTTTTATTTTACTCATTATGCGTTTCCATATGAAAGATGAGTGTGGATGTATAGATGTGACCAGGTTTCCTAATCAGGTAGTTTTCAACTCGAGAACTTGCTTCACGCAAAATTTTCATTCTTTCAGTCATCTTTATTATTTCCTCTTTTATATACAAATGGTATGTAATACAGTTTTAACAGTGGAAATAAAACTCATTTCAAGCTCAATTTATTTAAATTAGTGATATATGTTTCGGAATTTTGAGTTACATCTTCAGACAGAAGAGTGCAGGTGTGGATAACAAGAACACCCACACCCATACCCTTGAAAATCGCTTCTGCTCATGTTTTATGATCATTTTAGTATATACAGTGTTAAAATAAGTAAAAAATGTCACTTCACGACAGTGCATTTCGCTTTTCTCAATACAGAAATGATCTATAAAAAAATCTGATCAGACAAAAGTTTACTCTTATTTAGACCTTTAAAACAAAAAAAACTATAGTTTATGACTTGAATCTGATGGAAGTTAATTCAATTTTTGTGATTGAAAATCATCTTCTGAGAAAAATGTAAAATAAGTTTAGACGTGGATTTTTTTCATCTCAATTCAAAAAAAAAAGCTTATTAGCGCAGCCCCTACAGTGCTAAATGTGGAACTCGTATATACTCTCTAGTCTCATTAAACTAATACAAAATAAGTCAAATGAGAAACCTCTTGTAGACTATAGTTGTTTTGCAGCTGAAACGATCATCAGAATAAGGACCTCTCTAATTTCTGCATTTCGAACAGGAAATTTTTTATTCTTTTCATGGGCGCCCTACTTTATTTGCATTATTCACAATTATAATTTGATCAATTTTTCAAAAAAAAACTCTAGAAAGTCTGACGCCTGTTCTTCTGAATGCTAAAGTCTATAATGGCGACCCACGTTACTATGGTCTGTAATGGAGAGGGGGAGGAGAGTCGCAAAACTTCGACTTAAAACTTAAGCTCATTATTTTCTTTGAAAATATATGTGAAATTTACAAAACATATTAAAATGGCATATTCAGAATATATATAAATGAAATTTTTAAAAGTACGTAACAGATACAATAGGCTAGAATTATCAGCTGTACTTACATTATATAAGAATGTTTATTCAATGCTGATGAAAGCAAAACGAAGCCTTCACAAAACTAAAAAAACTTTAAGAAACCTACGAAAATCTCTCGAAAAACATGGTAGAAAGGTGAAAATATCCTCTGAAAGTCTGTTAAAATGGGATCTGTTTTTGAAAAGTCATATATATTCTGAGAGAGGAAACTTTACCGCATCTTCTTATGATAAAAACTCAATATCGATTATTTTTCGAAAAAAATGGATTTTCTGATGAGGATCCTTAATATAAGACAGTTTAATTATTGTTCTAAGCTTTCATTTAAAATAACTTTTGAATTTTAGACACTTGAATAAAATTAATTGTTGCATATATCAATGTCTGTTAAACAAAGCAAAATTATGACTTTCTTTCAAAATAAGAAGCAAAAGATCAACAATAGCTTTAAGAAAAATTCACCTGCTACTCAGTTTTATGAATCGAATAAAAAAATATTTGTACTATGCAATGACTCAATAACGTTTAAATCATGTTATTATCCTTCATATTCATAAAGAAAAATTAAATTTACTTGATTTAAACAGCATCTATTCTGATTTTATTTTCAAGGATCAAAACCGAAAAAAAGAATTTTGTTTTCAATAGTTTTACTTCGTTAGTTCCTATTTTATTTTGAAACAATAAAACATTAGAGTTATCACACATATACAGACTTCAAATCTAGAAAGAAAAAACATATAACATTTACCATTAATCCTTCACTCAACCACTCCCTCGAAAATCACTCATTAAATTATTATTATTATAGGAAAAGAGCTGAAAGTGAATTCAAATATAAATTATTATTGGATATATGTAGTCTATTTTTTCAATGCAATCTTGAAAATGATTTATTGTGAAAGAAAAAAAAAACGTTTATGACAATCTATCCCTATTTGTTATGTATGATATCACAGACAAAAAGTTCCTTTGTTGCATCGTAGAATGAGTTCATGAGGATCCAAATATTTTGATAAGGTCTTTATCATTTTTGCATCTAAAACAAGATCATGGATAAGAGAAAAAGATACAAACTCATCGATACCCATCTATGAATTGCTTCTTGTTTAAGTTTTGCTCTTTATCGAGATGAAACATGTTGAAGATTTCTGTAGCAATCATCCTTGAATTAACATGTTCTGCTCCTGTACCACCTCCCATTCTCAACTTGAAAAAAAGAATACCAATATTCTATTTAGCATTTTAAGAAGAACGGAAAAGAGAAAATCTTACTGCTTTCTGCATGATGTTTACCATCTCGTCGTAACTGACAAATTCATCGCCTGATGTATCCATTCTAAAGTTGAAAAATGAATGTTCGATTAATCACGCATTCAGAAATTTGGAAATGAAAACAATAAATTTGTTTTTTTTTGCAAAACCAAAAAAAAAGAATTCTTTATAGTGAGGAAACATTATTACTATTTCAGAAGTTTCTCTCTCATTTTCTAGGGCTGATAGTTTTTTTTTATTTGAATGACTGCTTTCTCTACTCGTTTGATTGTGTGTAAGTACTCGAAAGTAAACTTACATTTCAAACATCATTTCGAGTCTACTATCTAGATCGCGTTTTTTTTCCATGCCGAAAAATAATACAAATTCAGTAAAATCAATTGATTCATCATGATTAGTGTCAATCATTGTAAACGCATATCTAAAAATAGCATAAACGATTATGATGAAATATGAAAAGCGTGATGACATACTCTGCAGCATCGCTATGTTGCATTTTGGATCCCATGATTTCTTCGTAAAACTTATAGAATTGTTGTTTGTTCATCTTGCCTGATGGACATTCGCTTTTAAAACGCTAGAGAGATAAAAAAAATAACATTTACGAAAAGAAATCTTTTCAAGGTATTTTTCTACATGCATCATAAAAGTGTTGTATTTCTAAATAAGTCAAAGAAAAATTTCATATTATGATTGTATCTAACTTCTACTAACCGTGTTCGCTAAGCTTGGTATTAGCTTTGAGCACAGCCATTTCTGATAAAAAATTGTTTTCTTACATTAATCACAATTGATAAACAAAACTAGCAAACCTTTATCAGGTAGATTTCCTGATGTACTCTTGTTAGATGTTTTGTTAGCCATGCTGTTGACGATTAGAGTTGTTATTATGTAAAGAAAACAAATATCTCAAAAAAGAAAAACAAAATTGGAAATAAACGAATGATACATGTCTATTGTAACTGCTATGGAATTTGAAAAATTTTCTATGGATTCTTGTAGACGTTGTTATTTGTTGTGTCGAAATGAGTCATGTCAATACACAAACTTACGGTATTTGTAGAGAAAGGAGAGGGAGAGACAGAAATGTCACTATGGTTTCAGAATATTTGGTGATGTGAAGACTCGAAGAGAGAAAATGAATAATATAAATGAATGAAAAAGGAGTAATAAACGTAGAATAAATAACCCTATATTTTTAAATCATTAGTATTTTGTTTTTCTGCTTCTGCTAACTCATATTCTCATTGTAGTTCTAATGCAAATCTACGATACTCGAATGTTTACTTACGAACGAGTTGAAGAACACAACGGATAGAACAGAAAAAAAAATGTGACTGGCAATGGTTTTGTTTGACGACGAGAGAAAGAAAAAAACAAAATGCACTCGAGATATTCTTCTTTCTTCAACACGAGATGTGGGTGGATGTGGATGCCGATGTCGATGTGAATCTAAATGTGACGTGTGTCGATTGCTCTTAGCGCTACAACCATCCTCTTTAAAGATGATTTATATTTGAGAATATTGTTCTATGATGATAAAAGTTTTAAATTGAATTCTATCCAATTGATCAAAATTTTCGAAAATTTATAAAATAGTACTTGACCTCTGATTGATCATGTATCACTGAACAATCACTTTGAATATGACTTGTAGGTTATTATTTCAATCATACGTATATTTTTTTTATCCAATGTAGACGAGTTTCACAATTGTTGTGTAGTGTTATCAGGAATATTTGACTATTTATCGTGACTTATATCAATAATAAGAATGAGATAAGTTTTGCGTAGATATTTTTCAGTTCTTTTTTTGAAGTCATTAAAAGAAAAAGTAAAGAGAAGAGTCTTCCATTTCTAGTTGTTCTCTAACACATGGATAATTTTCTTTTTTTCTTCCTCATTGTTTTACATAGGATTTGACAGCACTGTAATCAGGTGTCTATTTGAATTAGATTTAATAACAGACTACTTTTGTTACTTAGTCAAGTCGATAAAAGAAGCATAAGAAAGAATAATCTCAAAAACCAATGATACTTTTTCACGATAGACACAAACTTGAGATAAGCTTCTTTGTTATTTGTAACTTTTTAGATAAATATATATGAAAAACGATTATTTTTTTTATTGATCTGTATGAAGCTCTCAGTATAGTATATCATTCTAAAATTTATAGTTTTAAATCACGTTTAGTGAAAATGTAATATATTTTCTCATGGTGACTTTTTTGATTAATGAGTACGTTTATAGTAACAACTAGAATTGTTGCTTACTGGAATTAATATATTATTACAATTCTATATATAAGAATATTACGAAGACCATAAGTCACGTTCCGTATCTTTGTTCCGTTAGAAAAGAAACCAAGCTGACAATGTCTGTGTTCTATTATATTATTGCAAATTGCTACTGTTTGTGTCATATCACGTGTCAATATACTCTAGTGTAATAAAATTTTGACATCTCAATATAGCAATGATCAAAAGTTATTTTTTGATTTCTATAAGTTTTTAATATCATCCATGATATAAAGTTTTGGCATACAGTTAATGAATAATTTACAATGAAAAAGGTGTAAAGTATATGATACGAAGATATTTAATATTATTTTGACAGATAAGAGCTTTTCGTTGAAGTATAGATTACATAGTGGTGGAAATGTAAAAAAGAACGAAACATATGAAAATTAATGCAATATTCTGTTTCAAGGCAGATATTGTAGTATATGTATGTACTGCGTCAACTATCTGTAATATCTTGTTGTTCTTTCACTGAGTAAATTAGGGTGTGGGTGTGGGTGTGGATCTTGTCTTGAATAATACTCATACCTACACCCGACTATTTTGATCAACAATGCCTATTTATTACAAGTATATTTATCAATATTATGTGTCGTCAAATGATCAAATAGCTGCAGGGATGATGAATTTTCTGGTCTTTTGAAGGAATTAATCTTGAGAAAATCCTGTTCAATGTGATTAAAGAGGGAACATTATTGAAAACTTGTCTAGAATAACGATATCAATTAAATAATATCAAGTTAAACAGATGCAACAAGAGCATTTGACGTTTTTTGCAGTTCTTTTTAATATTGCTGAATTCGAAAATGTTGGTAGATAAGAAGAGGACATAAAATTATATTGATCTTTACTTAATAGAGTCGATCATCCATTCGATGAAACTTTTTCGAAATAATGTATGAAAAATTATATTAAATATTCAAATCAGTTGACTTAGATTGACATTAATCATGTAGGTGAACAACCAAATAAATTCACTATTTATCGTACAATAACAAACAGTGAATTCGAACATTTGTTGCTGATATTCGCTCTTGGATTTGTTTTATATTTCTAATTGGTTGTATTGGATATTATAACATGAATACTATTTATTCAAGTATAAAATGAAATGTAAAGGCATTCTTTTTTATCATAGACGCACTCCCTCAGGACGAGAGGGTGTTGATGTGGGTGTTCTTTTTATTCCCAGCCACATACTTGAACGTATCGATTGTAATAAGAACTTAAAAATTTTGATGCATATTAGATTAGAAAATAAAATTTTAAATTTATCTTCATTAAATTTTTCAACATAATCCACACCTAAATGTGCATTTTGTAATAAGAGCAATCCTTCCAATGTAGTTGTTTGTTGAAGATAACATCATGCAAGTTTCTCCTGCCCTTGTTCGATAAGATGCAATGAAATCATATTAAATTTTATTTAAAACAGACAAGATTATTCAAATGAGAGCGAGGTTGAGTAGGCGACTAACATGTCTAAATGACAGAATGTTCAAAACATCATCATAAGAAATCAAATTTGATTATCTTCAACGTGTTTCATCTAAATAAATGAATCTTTTTTGTTCGTTCTACAGAAGATTTGCATATTTTTATTCATAAATACTACTCAAATAGTATCTTTGATTGTGATACAAAAATTCAAACGTTTAATAATTATCAATATGACATGAAACTTCAAGCTTTTACACAAATATTGAATAATCGATGAAATCGTTTTCGAAGTCTATGATATCATATAGAATCATAAGTGTTCACATCTTGAATATAGATTTGATGAAACATTTTATTTATCATGTTCTGTGAAATGTAACTAAAGAGGAGAGAATCGAGTCACTGGTATCAAAATTGCAAAATATAGAAAAGTCTTTTTTTGTTTTTATTAAAAATATTTTCATAGAAATTTTTATACTCAAATTTTTTTTCTTCTGTAGTACTGATTTTATCAACACTAATAAACAATGTGTTGATAAAATGAAGACAATTTTTTGTTTTTCGAAATACAGTTTTCTTGTATGTTGAATCAATTGCGATTTGTGATTGAGTATGTGAGTATGGGGTGTATCTTCTCTTCACACAGATATCTACGCTACCTACACTCACATCCAACATGTCTTTCTCTGAAGTTATTGTTGATCAGGTGTAAAAGCTTTTTCTCTTATACAAATATAAAGCGTCAGAAGATATTGCAATGTTTTATTCATGCGACAATTTATCTTTACAATGTTCTATTCATAAGACGAATTTTTTTTTTCCGATGAAAAGTTCGGTCACCCTCCATTTTATTCATTTCTTATCAATCATTTGAATACATTTCAATCGATACTATGAAATCATATCTTCTCAAGAGAATAAAACAGTTTATCTACGAACGAGTAAAAAAATTCTTTATGAATTTGACCAAAGTACTTGGTAAAAAAAAGTTCTTGAATTCAGAAAAAGAAAATGTTCAAACATGTAGATAATCGATAAAAAACTTCCATGAACCAAATTTATTTCAATTATTTAAGATTGATGCGATTTTCATTACTTGATAACTGGCAGCTACTAAAATAAAATTTGTTGCAGACTTGAACGTGAGAATGTATCACATCTAGATTTTATCGTAAGCTATTAGTTTATAATTCGTTGATCCTATTGCGTCGCAATTTCAGCTAAACATATATATATAAGATACTAATCTTTTCAATCTGCTGACAAACATCAGATAAATTGCAAATGGTATTATAAAGTACAAGTGTCAACAAGTACCAACGCTTGTAACATTTGAATATAATTTTCTGTTGAATGAAAGGCATATCAGACAATTGTATATGAGCATTTTGTAGCTATGTAAAATGAGTCTACTAAATATTGATTTATTTCAAATTTCATAGGAATTTTAATAGAAATATTTGAATTTTATCAAAAAGTACTTGTCCGAGCTCTGTCATGGCCAAACTGGATCGAGATATTTAGGTTTTGTTGTTTCATCTTCAAAGAAGAGAAGAATAAGAAGTGAATATTTAAACAGAAAAACATTTAATTAGAAGAGAACAAGCTGATTGCAATCAAAGCAATCTTGCCAATCAAAATTTCAGCTTTTTTCTTCTTGCATTTAGTTAACGTCAAAAGTAATTATGATACATTTTCAGACGAAAAGTATTTACAAGGGCTAAAAGTAGATTCGAATGATGCATCCAAAATGTGTTTCATTACTGTTAGATCAAATATACTCTGTCAAGGACTTCTTGATATGATCGAGTATGGTATATTAAATCAAAAAGTGTCACCTATAACGCATATTTTTGAGTAGCATAACATTTATTTTATAGAGATAAAATAACTAAAGAGACCCTCTTTTGACATTTATCTTCCTACACTTCAAATCCCCAAATGTTTCCTTCTCAAAGATCTTTGATTTGAAATTTCAGAGTCCAGCCGGTCGTACTATATAACAGAAAAGGAGAAAAATAAAATTTATGTATTTTATTTTAACAATCGAGTTCAAGAAAAAACACGTAGAAAATTACACTTATTGATTTTTCTTTGAATGTACACAATAGATAGAGAGTATAGCAATGAACTTATCAAACAAAAAAGAAAAATGAAAATGTTTAGTTTCAGATACATCTACTATATCTTACTTTATTAATAGAGACCTGATTATGTCTAGTAATAAAGGGGATATAATTTTTTTACATGTAATAATTTGAATGACTGATCATAGGTTAAGATTTTGTTAAATGGTAGTAAATGTAGAATTATTCTTCATACCTCACTACTTATCAAATCATCAATGTTTATAGAATGCATCTATAATTTTTTTTATTTTATTTTATAAGTTAACAAAACTCATTGCATTACTTTTTGGTGTACAGTAGTAAAAAGAAAATATACACTTGCAATATATGCATATAGAAAAAAGTTATATCGGTCCTTTATAATTGCATTCTCTCCTCCCATTTACTTGCGCTCTTTACAGGTACTCTATCGATTTCTCTTGCATTATGTACTATCGCTCTCGACATTTTTACAAGGTAAATTTGGTAAACCAACATGTTTTTTTTTTCATTGCTTGTGTGTAAGACATAGGTAAGTAATCAAATATGATAGTAATCATTGACGAAGACTCATATGGTAAAAGACAAACGTACTGAAATTAAGTTGACTTATAACATTTTGCTAACATTCATATTATGCCTGGTATAATAAGAAAAAAACAATTATGAAACTTGATTGTTGTATAGATTCATTGACCTAAAATATGTCAATTTTCTCGAATGTCATTCCATCAAACATTTTTCATGTTTTGTAAATAGACATTAACTAAATATCTTTGGAAAGATTTCCATATAGTATTGATTCTTGTCGGTAAGACTTCATAAAATCACACTATACAAAAACAAATTTTTTAGATATATACTAGACAAGAAAAAAATAACGGTTATTAAATATAATAAAAAATTGGCATAACTGAAGCATTTCAAAAAGAGAGGCACAAGCAAATACTTCAACGATAGAAGAAAATTGAAAACTAATCATTCAAATCAAACTTTTCTGTCTTGCCTAATGTTACTGAGCGTTGATGAATTTTTCTATTTTTTATCAATAACAAGAAATGACTATTCGATATTTGTTACTTTAACATTTGCTACTAATTTTTAAAAATTGAACATAATATTTTCTTTTTTTATTTAAGAAAAAGAAAATTTTTACACGTCTCTAACCAACGGAAAAGCTTTGCTTGAATTTCAGATACTATATAAAGAACTTATGCGATAAACATGACATTAGATAATTAACTGATTATTGTGATCAAGTATTAAAAAAAAAACTAATATTTAGAATTTTTTTTCAAGGTTTAAAACGAGAATATTCGGTATGAACAGTGTCTTCGTCAAGAACACTAATGGATTTTGATCTTAGTTTTCATCAGTTAATGCGAATAGTTCTGCTAAGATCGTTAAATAACAAAAAAAAGTATTTCAAAACCGCTTTTTTCTAGATTATTCTTTCTATATATTTCTTTTTTTCAAGTAGTCAGAACTGCGATGATTTTCGAGTAGTTGAAATGTGATCGAGGAACCGATAGTATACAGTTTTCGAGTGTTTGGAATCCAATGGGTGTCGAAGCGCTCAAAATTAGAGCAGAACGAACTCATCGTATGCTTTTCAAAGTCTGTTTAAGAATTTTCGCTTCACTTTTCTTGTCCTATTCAACATATAAATAATATTCGAATATTGATAGTCCATCGTCTATATTATTTAAGACGATACTAAAAGACTGATAGAATGAAAGAAATTTTTTCTTCTACTGTCTTATCACACATTATAACTAACTTTTCATCATCAGTAGTTTCAATATTTATTTTCAAATAAATATGATACTATGTTTATTTTAATTGATTCTTACATCTTTGTTATTAGATTGAACCATACTCATGGTACCTATAAATACCGATCGATTGAAAGCATTTTTCCTACCACATGGTCTTATATATACTTTTTTGAGTTTAATAATTCTATGTCTTCTAATCTTAACCATAGTCTATGCTGGTTTATGGCGTAATGCTAACACTTCTTCAAACACTTATGCAGTTGCAAATGGGATTATTGGTTATCCTATTCGTTTACCAAATGATGGCCGATATATTCAATGGATCTTCTTACAAATGAATGATGTTTATGAATTATTACCACTTGATAAAGGACGAAGAGGTGGTTTAGCTCGTGTTGCTTATATACGACAATTATTAAAAGAAGAAAATTCAAATACTTATACAATCCTTGCTGGTGATTTTCTTTCTCCATCAGCATTAAGTATAGCAACAATTAATGGAACAACTTTGAATGGAAAACAAATGATTGCAACAATGAATACTCTTGGTGTTGATTTTGTAACATTTGGAAATCATGAATTTGATTTATCAGAAAAAGATTTACTTAGTCGAATGAATGAATCAACATTTACTTGGATTAGTACAAATGTATTTAGTCGAGATAATAATCAATCATTTGGTTCAAGTATATCTCATAAAATACTTACAATTGATACTGTAAAAATTCTTCTTATTGGTTTAACTATTGATGGAAGTTGTAATTATGTTCGAATAATTAATCAATCATCATTAGTTAATTATGTTCAAGAATTTTTAAGATTATTTCCAAATGGAACATATGATGTACTTGTTGCTATAACTCATTTAGATATAGCAACTGATATTGAACTTGCTTCAAAAATTCCACAAATAAATCTTATTATTGGAGGACATGAACATGATAATTATTATTATTTAAGAGGAACAAAATATATACCAATTTATAAAGCAGATGCTAATGCTTTTACTGTTTTTATACATCGTTGTGCATATAATTTAGATACGAAACGTTTTCGTATATATAGTACTTTAGCACAAGTAACATCTGAAGTACCAGAAGAAGAAAATACAGCAAGAATAGCAAATTATTGGTTTAATTTAGGTATTCAAGGATTTAAAGAATTAGGTTATGAACCAAATGCAATTGTATCATGTCTACCAATTGGTATTGAATTAGATGGTCGATCTTCATCTGTTAGAAGTTATACAACACATTTAACTGCTGCTATATGTGACAGTATGTTACAATTAACAGTAACAAATAAAACGACTATTGGAATAATTAATGGTGGAACAGTACGTATTGATGATATTCTTCGTGAAACAATTACACAATATGATATTTTACGTACATTACCTTTTGGAAATCGAATTGTTGTTCTTTCTGTTCCTGGACATGTACTTGCACAAGTTCTTACTATTGGTACATTGTTAAAAGGAAGTGGAATGTTTATTGCTTATACTAGAGTAGAAACATTAGATGATGGTGAAACATGGTTATTCAATGGTACAGATATATCAAAAAGTGGTCTTTATTATAATGTAGCAACAACAGCATATATGCGAGATCATACACAATTAAATAATATAGATGTTACTACTTTATATGATACTAATGTAACACAGACAAGAAGTTTAATGAATTATTTAACAATGAAATATCCTCCTTGTTAGAAAAGAAATATTAATATTCAATAGTTAAATAAAATGTATTGGAGAAACTTGTTTACTTGTGAAATGTATTTTTTATTTCGATTAAATATTAAGAATATCATTTTTATAATAAAAAATCATAAAATTATTTGAATTAAACTGATAATATAAGAAATGAGATAACATATTATCGTTTGTAAATAAAAAAAATCGAATGAATAGAGGAATCGTATTATAACAAAGATTAAAATAAAAATATTGTTTTATAAATATTTCAAGGGCTAATTCAATTCGAGATGGCATTTTCTTTTTTATTCATTCGTTCAAAAAAGTATCATACAATGCATGGAAAAGTTACGAGAACAAATCAATAAAAATTGTAAGATTTTTTTCCACTTCAAAGATGAGTTTTTCTTGATTATGAGATTTTCTCTAAATCTGTTTTTGAGGGTGGGTGTGGGTGTAGGTGTAAATGAGTATGTGGAAGAAGAGATAGACTTTCACATACCTACACCCACATCCACATCCATACTCACACCTTCAAAAGGAAGAGAACGGGAAAAAAAATAGACGAATACAGCATGTTAGTGTACTCAGTTGCATGTAAATTACATTGTCAACCATGCTGAAGTGTATCATTGAACTTTTCATGCTCATATTAGGCACAGCTCAAACAGCTACCAATGTCGGCGGTGTGCTTCGTAGCAACGCAGTTTGGTCTGTTAATGAGAGAGTTAATCCATACGCCCTTTTTAACGACGTACAAATACAACGCAATGTTACGCTCACCATCCAAGTGAATGTTCAAATTCTGTACAATCAAAGAGACTTCGAAATCTTTGTTAAAGGAGCATTAATTATATATGGTACCAGCTCAAATTCAGTCCGATTCGAAGGTGGATCAAACAACCATTCGAAATGGATGATTCAGTTTCAAAACATCAATCTATTACGTAGTTCAGTCATTTTTGCGAACTTTCAAGGACCGAAATGGGCGTTACAAACATCACTTGGACCTTCTGATCTACAACAAAATACTGGTGTGGGTGTTTCTTAATGAATGCAAGATAAACAGCTGTGCCTACAGTTCAAGCCCCATCCACGCTCAGACTTTATTCTACTAGAGCCAGATTAACTTACACAGAGAGCCACTCTCACTGAGCATCATACTTAGACCCACCTCAATAGTTATTCATATCCACACCCTACCTCAATACATCCTTTTTCTCTATTCATCTTTCTAACTGAGAAACATTTGAATGGTTAAACAATAGTTCTATATAAATATAGAAGCAGTACAATCAAGTGAGCAATAGCAACATATAAAGTAAAAGATAGAAGGCTAACCAGTTTGCAAGAGAATATTTAAACTGTCAGTTCCATTATTGGCGACGGCAATATCTAGTTTTCTGTCATTGTTGAAATCTCCAACGACAATGGAGAATGGATTAGATCCATAGTCCAACGGAAATAGGATGATACTTGTAAATGTGTCATTATAATATTTGAGAAGTACACCTAGATTGCTGTTGTCATGATTCGCGACAACAATGTCTTGTATAAGGAGACAAACCGTAGCGGTACCAGAAAAATGATACTCTTTTTTATCAATATTTTAACTTATGCTTTGATTTATGATTTATTGATAAATAGTTTTGAATTTGATTTATATGGAAAACAAAACTAATCTTCGTCTATGTTATTTTTTTTCGATCAAGTCGACAAGAATATTGACAACTGGTTCATCATTATAATCTTTAAGTGGACAAAATAAACCATTATTTTTCTTCTTCCATACCCAAGTTGCCGGATCAACAATCCTCGTTTCTTTTCCATTCATTTTTTTAATGTAGATATGACGTGTTGCTGGATTACATGTTTGTATAAATGCATATTGAAAACCTTTTATATCTCGTGCATAATTGCAAATATGAGTGCGTAATTGAGCGGCTAAATTTTTACCTGTATGCTTGGGTCGTGTTGCACCAGCTATAATAAATAGAACCATATTCGGTTTTAATTCTTGATTGAAATCATGATGGACAAATTGATCAACCATTTCTGAAAGTATATCTCTCGTTGGATATTGAGATGCAGGACTGGAATCATCATATGGATATTTTTTACAATATAAAAATAGATCATTGGCTATAACAGCTGCAATAATTTCATTCGTTGGACGATGTCGTATCAGAAATGACAATTTTTCATCGAGTACATTGATCATTAATGGCCAATGCCGTTGCTCAAACAGTTGCTCACCTGTGACTCGATTACAAGCCATCAAAGGATTGTGTAAAGCGAATTCTTCTGCAATTAGTTTAGCGCATAAACGAGCATCTATTTCATTGTCGATCAGAGCAATTTCATATTCATCGTTACTAGCCATGTGACGTAGATAAGAATAAAATACAGGTGCTACTGTAGATACGAAACACCATCCCGCGCCCTCATTGCTAACACATACAGAACAAAAAAAAATCTATTGAAGAAACATATAAACCAATGTTTCTTGATAAGAAAAATAATTATAATAGATGCCGTATAAGAACAAAAGAATTTTATTAAAAGAAAAAAAAAATAGAACGAATTAGACCATAGAATAAAGAGAACAAATTTATAAAACTAGATTTTTAAATGGTTTATCACCAAACTCTTGACGTCACATAAATTCTTCTAAATAGATAGGTAATAAATTTCGTGAAAAACGATCTTATTTTTTCTGTTTTCATTTAACGTGCATCCAAGTATTTTCAATATTCTGGGTATGTACACCAGCTGTAGGATCAACAAAATGTAAAGAATGATTAACTGTTAGATGAGTATAGTCGGTGTTATTCGATAATTGAAAATAAGCCCTTCACTCATTGAAATGTATTATTGAGCCTACAAAATAGCCTAGATAGCGGTTAGCGGATGAATTTTTCTGATGTTGATGGTATCCAAATCGTCGATGTTTACAAGATCATTCATTTTTATTTTATTTCTTATTATTGTATCGCAGCAAAAATATTGAGAATTTTTTTGTGTTATGATAATACTGAAGGTAGATTCGTTATACATAGAAATTTTTCTCGTTCAGCAGTAATTATTAGACGTTTTTATATTAATTTTTTTTTAATTTTAATTGAAAGAAATTTTTTTATTTTGTTATCGAAACTGGCTTTCTCTTTATTTGTTTTCATCTCTTCACATAAAACAATCATAGTAAATACTTCAGATATTTTCTTAATTAATAACTTCTTATATCTTTAATTAACACACATCATTACTATTCCTTCTTGTCAAAACATTGGTTTATATGTTTCATCAATAGATTTTTTTCCGTTCTGTACACGTTAACAATAGCGTGTGTTCTTTATCTGCAGTAGTACCTTGCATTCTTATACATACCATTACTCACTATTCAATGAATTTACTTTGATAAAATAATAAGAAGTTGCTTTGTAAAAGCATAAAGTTATTTGTGAACATCACTGATCAAATAGTCAAGTATATTGGGCGTGCATGTGCGATAACGGAAGATATGCACATTCACATACTGGCTAGATGTGGATGTATAGTGTGTGGGTTTGGGTGTGCGGTGTGGGTGTGGATGGAGAAAAGACACTCACGCCCCACACATACACCCCGCACCCATACCATACATCCACACCCACACTGCACACCACATATCCATAACCATACCCACAGTCATCTGCACAGATAGCAAAAGATACGTGATTCGAATCCAGCCAGGAGTGTGTGGGTGTTGTTCAATAGAACACACACTCACACTCTCACCCGTCTCTGTCTTTTCATCGAAGATGACATTAAAACCAATGCACACGTTCGTGAGAAGAATCAGTAGAATTGTTCCTATTCGACTCGAGATGAACGACAGTTTCCTTTGAGGATGCTATTTTATCCGCAGTTTCGATCTCTTTAATAGTTCCATTCGCGTTTGCACGATGGCGGCGATAGTATGCAATTGGATTTAAAATAGCTGCCAACAGAAGAATCAAGACTTCGAAGAAGACGACTATAAGATAGGCGCTTGCAGCAAATGCATCTAATGGAGGAGGTGCAAAACCTGAAAGTTATTATTATCACTGTTCAAAGCGTTCAGAAACAAAGAGATATAGAAACTCGCCTAAGGAAGCAGCACTGAAGACACCTCCCAACATATCAACAATGATGAATGTGATCGAGAGGCCCACTACTTCTTTTCGTTTGAATATCTCCCAAAACTGTGGACTATAATAGATTAATGGAGAAGTATTCAATGTTGTTTATGATAGTAGTACGACTCACAATAGAGCACCACCAAGAAGGATGGTCGCTATGATTCCGAACATCTTGACTGGCCACGTTACACCATTGCGAAAACCAGCCTAGACAGATTAGTGACGAAGAAGATTCCATAAATTACTTTAGAATAGATGTACTCACTCTCAACGCGTAGACACAGCCGACTTGCATTGCAGTCGAAAGGCAACAAAATGCCAACATACACAGGACACAATAAGTTTTTCGGGCATGACGATCGTAATATAAGCATTGTATCCATGAGCAGGCACACAAAAAACCTTGGTCGAAAGAGAGAATCGTTATGAATAAGATTACTCTAATGCAAAAACATAAGTATTTTGATTGTAGTCTTATATAAAAAATTCTGCTAAATGGATGGAAAAAAGCGGAAAGGAAAAATGTCAAAGAGGAAAAATATCGAAAATAAAATTGTCGAAAACAAGAATATGACGTGAAGATGAATATGTAAGATTGAAGATGAGGATGAGGATGAGGGAGATTTGTACTTCAATATACTCTCGTTTTCAGCATTTCTATCCATCTACATTTGTATTATTTCTGTTTTCGATATTTTGCTTTTCTGCCTTTTTCCATCATACCGCGTACGTAGACAGAGAATTTGGTAAAAGCCTTGAACTTCGTCTTCCAATTTCATAATACATGCACTAGAGATCTTATGATTCGAGGTGCATTATAGAAAAAAATAGTAAAGTGTATCTGACTATTCCCTGTAAACAATAAACATTGAAATTTTTGTTTGAGATAACACATATAAGCATTTCTAGGAATAATATAATTCCTTTGATAGAAAATTTTTGCTCTGCATAATGTACTGCATTACTTTAAGAATTTTTT